CTAGCTTCTGTAGACTTGATTGGGAACTATTCTAAAGATGGTGAACTCACTCAAAAGACCCATTTCCTAGCAAACCTGGGCCACTTGTGGGGTTGGATTGGTCCATGAAAATCTACAGTGGCTGAAATTCTTCAGTTGTGTGAGTTGTTCATTTTGCCACATGTGGAGAAAGCATTTGTTATCTCTTTTGAAATAAAAACAAAAATTAACCACCCAAACATCTAAATTTATTCAATTGTAATAGTAATATTAGCAGTTTCCTTATAAGGAAATGTTCAACATTCATTGACTTGAGCAGGCAATACCACTTGCAGTTGAAATTTATAAAATCTTTCTCTAAAAACAATTTTTCAGGAAAATAAGTTTTTCATGTCCACTCTTATTGCTCTTTTCAGCATTGATGGGGATGGAGGCTTCCTTCCTAACCTTTTGTTTGAAGTTGCATAGAATGTCAACATTATTTTCTTGAGTTACGTGTAATATCGATTTTTGTTTTTGATATTGAAAGTTCTCAAGTGATGTGTTTTCTGTGGTTTGTTGTTTTGTAGTATGAGTCTGAGGTTCAAAGAAGGATCGTCCTTACCGAGACCTACAGGCTTCATTTGCTCATGGCCAATTTTGACTCTCAAACTGACAGTTTAGATATTTCTGAATGGGTTTGACACCAGGCATGGCATCCATATGAAAGTCTAGATCTGATGAAGATGTTGAAGAATATGATGATCATTGCCAAGATCCTCAGAATTCACTCTCTCAAAACCATTTTTAACCATTGATCTTAGGAAGCGGTTGTATACAGCTGAGAGTTTAGATATTTCTGAATGGGTTTAGCTCCATGCATAACATCCATATGAAATTTGTGATCTGAAGATGCTACTTAAGAACATGACTCAAGTTTTTAGTCTAATGTTTTTGGTTTTGTAGCAACTTGCGGTATTGGGTGAAGCTAGTGAAGCCTATTCTATATTAATTTCCCATATTAATTTTTTATAACTGATCCATACACAGAGTGAGAAGTTCTGAACTCTCACTATGGTCCTTGGATGAAATCAAATTAAGAAGAAAAAGTTGCCTTTGATGTAAAGAGAATTATAATAAAGAAAAGCAAACAATACAAATAGGCATGTTTTTACTTTTGACACGACAATACCTCTACCTGAACTCAAAATTGGCTATGCTATCACCAAAACCTACATCCCAAACACTCTGAAAAGTTATAACTGTCAAAGGTAAGGACACCATAAAGTTCAATTTAAGAAAAAGAAAAAAAAAACACACTGTCAGAAATGTGTAGACCACCCAAATCAAGTGTAATAGACAAGAAATAACATTCAGTTGTCGGCATTTCATAAAGCCCACCCGGTTGTCGGCATTTCATAAAGCCCACCCGGTTGTCGGCATTTCATAAAGCCCACCCGGTTGTCGGCATTTCAGCTACCTTGGACTCTTGTAAATTTAAAGCATGCTGGATCGGATGGTGGTTCCTCTTGCAAAGAGGAACACAAGTTTGAATCCTGCCTGGTGGGGCATATTTTCTTTATTGATTTTTCTCAAGTACACAGGCCAGTAGACAAAATAAATACAGTTTAAAATAAACGGAGTGTCTACTCAAATATGGCTCTCTACTAAACGTGGGAAATGCAAAAGGAGATATTGAGAATGAAATATACTGAAAACATCCAGAAAAATGTCGAGAGGCACTAAAAATGGTAAAAAAATATTAATAAGCAAATTCATATATGCAACTACAACCAAAGCTTCGATTGTGAATAATAGCAGCTATTAATAGCATAGGTGCAACAAACTGCCAAGCCTTTAGCCAACTCCCTCTAAATGACTTAAGAATAAATACCAAAAACATCGAAACCAAACTCTTTAACCAAATCAATGCAAGACAATAAGACATTTCTATAATAGCCTCTCAATCAGAAATGTCCACCCCCACAAAAAAAACCCCCAGAAACTAATAAAAACAAAAAATAAACCGAACTCCCTGTACAGAGAGTAAACCAGCCATTGTTATATTTTAATGCAAGCCACAAACAAGGAAGATAACCCAGAACACCTTCTGAAATGAGATCAGCAACAATGGCCAAAAATAGAAATGAATCTAATCCCAATTCAAGAGAGATGAAGAACTGCAGGCAATGAAAACCAAAGACAACCCCGAAAGGACACCTTAGAAATGCAAATTACAAATATAAAAATACCCCCTCCTCTGAGCTCAGGTCAACTATAGACAAGTACATAAAAAAATAATTGGTAAGAGTTATGAAACTTTTGACCAAGTAATACGCTACACCAAATCCAACCCACCATTGGTCAAAACAACAGCTGAATCATAAATATGTGAGAAAATGGTAAGAGGCTACGACTAGGGCACATGCAAAATATTCACATATGGTCCACTCACTCTGCTCTCTCTCTCTATATATATATATATATATATATATATATGTGTGTGTGTGTATTTAGGCAGCAATCCTTCATTTATGCATGTTTCATTAAAAACGACAGACAAAGTACTATGGTTAAGCTTTTCATTTAATTTTTCTTGTGCTTGAACAAGAGCTTTCTTTTTCAGACACAAAGTGTGTAGAAACTGTCCAAATGTTCTATAGTTCCGAGTGCTTTCAGCTATTCTTATAGCCATTATCAAGGATGATTTTATTTTTTCTGTTTAATTGAGTGTGCATTATGTGTATAAAAAGTAAAAAAGCCAACTCTTAACAATATTAACTACAAGCTAGGCCAGAATGTGCTAGCCGTGTTTGGAAAATTAAAACACCTCTATAACACACTAAAAGCATACACATAATGCATGCACGTGCACACACACACACACACACACACACACACACACAGAGAGAGAGAGATATTCTTGACAATTATCCAAACAATCTGTAATGATATTGGTCCTAACATGTCATACTGCTGTAATGGAGCTTCCCTATGCTTTTTCTATAAATATTTTCATAGCAATTGTTCTAATGAATTTTCTTTGGTACCTCAACTCTGTGAATTTAAGTATAGTACTAGACTTGCAGTTAGGTCTCATCACTTTACAGTTGAAATTGCTAAATGTAATTGTAATTTTTCTATTCCAATAGTTTCTTCTCTCATATTTCTCGCTTGTAGAACTCTCTTCTGGCTTCTTGCTTTCCTGTCAACTACAATTTTCAAATTGCAACTTTGTCATTTTCTGTCTTTTTGAATCTAGTTCATTTTATTGTCCTTTCTCCATTCTTTTTCATCTTAATGGCTTTATTGCCTTGGGTGATATGATTTAAAAAAAATAAAAAAAACCCTCAAAAATGAAGAACCATCAATGTGTGCATGATGTCTTGAGTTATACACTATCCTGGTATATACTGAAGAAATTTGATGACCTGAACATAACACAACTTGGATATTATCAAGTAAATAGTTTGGTTGAATTTTCTGGAATAATTCCTTTTAAACACAATATTCAAATTTTTATGAGAAGTTAAATTATATAACTGAATATAATTCCAAATACTTGTATTTTTGTGTAAGCATTTTTAAGAGGAAATCTGAGCAAGTCCATGTGCTTTAAAGTTAAAATATATTACTTCATTGTAACACTCTTTGTAGCTGAGCAGTAAAAGCCTGCCATATCAGATGGTGGTTACTCCTGCAAAGTGGGGTACAGGTTTGAACCCTGCCGGAGGAAATATTTTCTTAGTTTTTTTTTTTTTTTTTTTTTTTTTTTTTTGAGTATGCAATCCAGTAGACAAAATGTTTACTGTTTAAAATAAACTTGAATACAGGTATCCAGTAAAATGTCTGAATAATATATATATATATATATATATATATATATATATATATATATATATATATATATATAAAAATTTTCAAAATGTGTTAAACCTTCATGACCCAAAATAAGACTCTGGAAGTATCATTAGACATGCTAAATCAAAATTTATTTTGGAATCTTTTCTCAGGCTGAGACTATTTCAGCAGCCTCTTGTAAAAGTCAGAAGCCATGACTCTGAGTTTGAAATGTTACTGGCACTGTCTTCTTCAATAAACCAGATTATTTTTTGTTTTTGTTGATTTCAAATTTTGACAAATTCTTATTCCACAGGACAATGTTTAAAGAAAAATAATGAAATAATAATCACAATAGTTTTTTTATTTCTTGTTGAGGCATGAAAGGATGCATGGCTGACACACACACACACACACATATATATATATAAATATAATATATATATATATATACACACACACACACACACACATATGTATATATATATATATATATAGTTAAATTCCCAGATGAATTCTGTGGACAAGACAGATTGGTATCAAATGACAATTGGAAAAAAAATCATACATTTTGCCATTTTTAGTCTTCCCGACTTTTTCATAAAAAAAACATTAAAATTAAAAAAGCATCTATCTTTTTAATTTTGAATTTTAATGTAACTATAACAACAAAAAACATTTCGATTTCATTTTGTCTTGAAAAAGTCGGAAGACAAACGTGTCGGCAAAATGTATGATTTTTTCCAATTGTCATTTGATACCATATATATATATATATACACACACACACATTGATGTCAACACCCAGTGGCAACGGTCTTTTTCCATCTGGCCTGACAACTGCATATAAGCATGAATCAGACTCCAGCATTGAGAATTGGCTTCAATGTCCACTTTTATATTTACATATGATATTAAGCACTTTAACCCCATAAATATACCATACCTTAAAACTATATTTTATCATTTTTATATATATATATATATATATATATATATATATATTTCATTGAATAATATAAACATGTCTACTTATTTTTATAATTAAACTTTCTAGTTTTCTAATCAGTTTCTTGATGTGAAGATGAAGTTCAAGGAATGTGCTATAGTTTTATTTCTACACAAGTACTTGTATATATATATATATATATATATAAGTAGTAACATTAATTGTGCTAAATAGTTTTCTTTTTTTCCATTAGTCAACAACTCTAAAATTGACCAAACTTCTGAAGCTGTCCAAAGATGGGTGTGATGGAAATTTTAAAAGTCCAAGGGCTCAACGCAACCTTTGTATTATTTTGGGCTGTTTGGCAGAGAAAATGGCTGGTAAGTTCAGACTTTTATTTTTATTCTTCATTTGGTTTGTATTAATTTCAAATTACCTGTTTGTTTCATGTGCACATAAAAGTGTTGCCATTCATTTGACTATTTTAATGTTAGAAGTCTTCTCTTTGGTTTTGTCATTTTTGTATTTGTCCATATTTCAGCTATCTTGGACTCTTGTAAATTTAAGCAAACTCCTACGAGATAGTGCAGGATAGCTAAAAACATTCGTGTGATGTGTGCATTACATTAGATATATATATATATATATATATATATATATAATCAGAATCCAACAGAAAAATAGCATAAGGGACAAATAGGAAATGTTTATAAATGTAACGTGTTTTGCTTTTATTTAAGCTTCATCAGAAAATGAAATATTGAGGAGAAAATGAAAATTCTGATTTTTTTTTTTTTTTGTTAGTTAAGCAGACCTCACATGTATCTGTCCCGTCAAGCAGCATTTGTGTATATAATCAGTTTGTATAAGTATCACAATTCTAGTTGTTCTATACAGGATTCAATTGATAATGTGTTTTTGTTTTTTATAATATGTATATATTAATTCCTGAAAATAATACATTGTCACCATTAAGAGGTTAATTATGAACACAGCCATAATGTGCTGTGTTTGAGAATTAACACCTTTCTATTGCTTTAACAAAAATATCTACATATTAAGAAAAACAAAAACATCCTTGATAACAGCTAATCAATTAACCAAAAGAACTTGGATTCAAAGATCATTTGGATCCAAGTTCTTATACACTCTGTCCAAAAAGATCTCTTGTATACATCAATGAAAAAAAAAAATAAAAAGCTTAGTTGTAATGCCTTGTCAGTCATCTTTAATGAAACCTGTATAAAATAGGGATTGTTGCCCAAATACTCTCATATATAAAAGTATGAAAATATCTAGAGCACAACAAAAACTTACAGATATAAACTTTGAAAGGTCTCAACAACTGATGATCATTTCTTAAATAGGAAATTGGAACTTGCTTTATAATGATGGTTCTCATGGTCAAATTGATAGAGCACACTGTGGCTCAGAAAGTGGGCTCTGTTTATGAAAAAATATGTAAAAACATTTTCTGGCTTTTATTTAACCTGCAAATGGTTGATAAGCCGTTAAAAAAAAAAAAAATTAAGCCTCTCTCTTTTGGTCATCTTTTCCAAATGAAACCATTAAGAAACACATGCCAAATCAATGACAAGACAATGGAGCAGAAAAACACAAAATAAATTAAATACAATCTTCCCAAACCTCAGGAAAAAAAACCTGCCATTATGGAAAATTCCAAAGGGAAGAGGTTACTATAACAAGACTACGAATAGGTCACACTAAAATGACACATTCATTCTTACTGAGACAAGAAGCAACACCATGATATCCTACATGTCAAACCCAATATATCGTAAAACATTTTCTAATTGAATCTGTTGATCTCAAAAAGACAATTTCTTCAAGGCAAACTGCCTAAAAGGACTATTCGAAAATAACATTCCTGAAATCAGTTGGATTATATCTGAAAATATAAAAAACAAAAATTGTCTATTTTTCCCTATACATAAAATCAAAATAAATTATTTTTGGCATGAAATGGCTCTAAAGGGTTGATATATGAAAAATTCACTTCTGAAAATGATGTTCTAGTTTTTCTCATTATTCAGTACGTATTCAAAATGGATATTTTCTAAGCTGATCTTAATCTGGGACTGCACCAGATGAATGGAAACATTTGGGTAGATTGTATTTTGTGTTGAGTGTTCTTGTTGGACAGGATTACTGGTTTTCAAATTTCTTGGCTGTCACACAATTCTGATGCTTTGATCATTCATGCCGATAGCATTTCTTTTTTGGACACTTGTTTCTAAAGTGAATAAAATTAAATTAGATTACTTTGTTCTCCAAAGAATATAGACTATATTGTTTCCTTTGTAATTGTAAAGCTTTTTTAGATTTGTTGATGTGAAAACAGATGTGTAGGTAGTGTACAGGCTCTCAGCTTGGGAAGTGAAATCAATGAACGTTGTATTGTAATACTGATAATCTGTTACTCGTTTCTTTTCTAATGTCATGAATCAGTCTCTTCCTTTCTCAGCTATTCTTTGTGAGCTGAAGGCTTTGAGGACATTGTAGACTGGACTCTAAAGGCTTCAGCTAATACAGAATTTGAAACCGGGAATAAGGTAACATGAAATCACTCCACAATATTTCCTAAGAAATTGTCATGGCAATTCACAAGTAATAAAGAAATGAAGTCTTTGGAAAAGGCAATGAGAAACCACTCCACTATCTTTCCCAAGAAGTCATGGCAATTCACAGATAATAAAGAAAAGCAATATGAAGAGATATGTCATTTAAGAATGCATGAAAATAAGAGAAAAATCAACTCTTGTACATAGATTGACTATTTAATTTTTTTTTTTTGTTCTTGATATTCTTTTTAGAAAGGTAAAGATATTTTTTTCAAGCTGTATTAATATTTTCTTTTCTTTGTTGTTGTTATTGCTAGGGCCTAGCAGTATATCTCTGTTAACAAATGATGTCTTGGATTACTTAATATCAAATATGAAGGTAAGTGTCAACATATTTTTCTATTTTTCTATTTTAAGGCTTTGAAGAATGGTTTAATAGTTTGTCACGATCAAAGCAAACAAGATTAATATAAACATGCAACTTGACATGGAGAGAAAAAGAACATTAATTTGTTTTTAGCAATAACTAATAAAAGGGCAGAAAAATATAAAAAGGCTAGTTTCCTAATCTTATTTTCAATTAAAATTTATTTCTTTTGCTCCTTCTTGAATCCAGTAACTAAAATATTGCCTTTTTAAACTATTTCAGATTGAATCAAACTTGTTAACCTTGCCAATAAGGCATCATAGGTGTGTGTGCGTGTGCATGTATGCGTACACACACATTATTATATATATATATATATATATATATATATAATGTGGGTGTGTAGCTGAAATATTAGAACTTTCCAACTATGATATCTAGGTTGTCACCATCATTTGTCAAGGAAGTGACTTCCTGATGACATTGGCCTGAAGTGACAGCCCCAGGGTGCTGCATCATTTGGAAGTGCCTGCAAATGTATGACAGGCTGACCCATAGCTTGTGAGTGAAATTGGGTAGATGAAGCTGTTTGGAAACTGTTGATAGGCGTGCTAGCAGAAAATCACTGGTCATCGTGCCTGAGTGATCAAGTATCCCAGCTAGTTCAGTTGCTGAGCATACCAGATTTTATGCTATCTTCAGAAACTTAACTATGGTCTGCTCAGTACAGTTGCAGTATAAACAATAGGTTGTTCCTGTTGTGGTTGATGATGATGATGAAATACAAATATGCCTGAGTGGGTGTGTGCAACACAGGGATTAGCTATTTGCTTTAGTTGACAGGTGTACACAGAAATGTGTAGCTCTCTCTCATATATATATATATATCCGACAGTATGAAGAAAAATATACGGAAAAAACAAACAAAAATCCTTATATGCAATTATGCTGTTTTAATGTTAATATGTCAACGTCGGACGTTTCGATCTAATAAACCATCTTCAGGACATATTCATAAAATATAATTAACATTATCAATTCAGCATGACAAAGACGATGGACTTAAGAACAAGACTTATCCAAACAGATAACTGAAAGTTTATAAGATCAGTGCTCCGTTTAAAACATGGTCACGTTGTCGTCATGTGGGTGACGCTGTGAAAACGTATTCCTAAAATTTGAGTATTTTGAATGAAAAATGAAAAGAATTCTATTTTGATCTAAAACTTATATGTCCGCTTGTCGAGCATTAATCTCACTAGAAAAGGGGAAATACTAAAGAATCCAGGTCTAGTATTCACCGTGTGTGAGATGGATATTATGCCTGCTTCATAAATCCGCCTAAGATTTTTATTATGAAAATATTTTAAAATCTTCACGGAATCAAAATCGAAATTATGATCTGCTTTAGTTGTGTGTACAACTATAGCATTGTTTAAATTTCCGAGGCGAATATCTCATTTATGTTCGATGATGGAAGATGGTTTATTAGACCAAAACGTCCGACATTGACATATTAACATTAAAACAGCATAATTGCATATAAGGATTTTTGTTTGTTTTTTCCGTATATTTTTCTTCACACACACACATATATATATATATATATATATATATATATATATATATATAAATATGAGAGAGACAAACCTCTCATCAACGGACTGATAGGGGGATGGGTTGGTCTGTTAAAGTTGATTGTCTGTAGATGGGAAGGAATTCTTTTTGAATTATAAAATCACTCTAGTAACTAGCTGTAGTTATGATCATAATGTAAATACTATAAACATGTATATATGGCTTAAATAAATATATACTTAATATAGGTGTATTAATCAAAATAACAAAAATAATAGATTTCTCACAGTTACTTTCTCACACATGCGCTAATGTATTGTACTTTATATACTGTACACCCATCTTTGTTTACAATTGAAAATCCCGCCACAGCCACCAAGTGTTCGCTTTGAGAATAAATATGGCTCATTCCGCTAAACCTACAAATTTTGAAATTCATCACTGACAATTTGGAAGTTTTTTTCCTACAGACATGTTTTTTTTTATTCTGCCTGCAGATTTTGTCCATTGCATCCAAAGTCCGTTCATGGAGAAGGGGGCATAGATGATAGGTTTGTCTGTACTTAATGTTATTTTTAGTGGATACCCATATTTGAGTGGATGCTCTGTTTATTTATTAAACAGTATATTATATTTATTTCCATCTACTGGCCTGAATATTTGAGAAATCTTATTAGAAAAACATGCACTCTCCTGCCGGATCTGAACCTACATTCCCCTAGGAGAAACTGTCATTAGATCTGATGTACTTTGACCTCTTCACTATAGAGAACATCAGATCTAATGTTGGTTTCCCCTAGGGAACAAATGTTCAAATCCTCTTGGAAAACTCATGTTTTTCTAATGAGATTTCTTGAATATTCAGACCAGTTGATATAAATATACTGTTTAATGAATAAACAGAGCATCTAATCAAATATGGGCATCCAATTAAAAATAATGTTTAAGGAATATAATATGATGGATTGATAAAGGAAAGATCCATTCTTTATATATATATATATATATAGGAGTAAAATATCATGAAAAATTGAGCACTCTAGCATTGGTTGGCAACCAGTATTGGAGAAGGGAAATACTGAATTCATTGCTGGGTATGAAATTCACTCCCACATGAACTAAATAGGAGTTGACATGCTGTTAAATCCAACATCCATCCATCCCACATGAACTATCAGTAAACATAATTGGTACTGAATCATCATGTAGGACCCCCTTTCTGAACTGCAGATCAAACATATTGAATATGGCACTACTCTTAGTCAAAATCATGTGGCTGTAAGTTAGGATGTGGCAGAGCTGCTTCTCTCAGGAGTGAGAAAAGCATGATATATATATATATATATATATATAAGACACTCCCATCTTTTTCGACATATGAGGGTCAAGCAGCTGAGTTCTTAGTACCAAACAGCCAGACTACTTGTACATATGATTTGATTGGTGATGAAGGCTTGTGCAGAACCAACCACACTTTTTGGAAGATCCAAATACAGAGAACTACTCCAAGATCCCCAAACAATCCTCCTTAGCTTTTGAATTCAGAGTCATCCTTCTCCTAGGTCAGTTGTCCCTCAAGGCTACATGACCGAGCCTGTCCTGCTAGTGGCCTATAGCTAGGGATGAGAAGAGATGAATTCATGTCTTTCCCAAGACTATTAGCACATAAGTGAATGTAATGAATTTGGCTGAAATTTGAATTTGGCTCTCTGTTTCTTTAGCCTGGGCCACTATCCATTACTCAACTGTGCCTCTCTCTCATATATATATATATATATATATATATATATATATATATATATATATAATTCCTCACTGGTAGCACAAATTGGAGTTTCATGCATAATGCAATCTTCAGATGCTGGGTAGACTGCATTGACTCAGTGTTGTTCTGTCGGTGAGGGATAATATGTATATTTATTAATATATACTTAATAGCTCTGTTATATTACATTCAGAACTATTTTATTAACACCAGCCCTCTATGTGCAATAGATATATAATTTTCTTTCATTTTTTTTTGTTTATATGTTATTCTATAGATACAAATATTTAAGTAAATGCTCTGTTTATAATAAATGGTATTAACAACATTAAGAAAATATGTATCCTCCAACATATGAGTTGATGTCCAATTCAGATAAGGAAAACTGAAATGTGAGAGTTAAATTGAAAACTAACTTCTGGCAGGTGGGGATCAGAGACATCTAGGCATCGTTTTGCATGGCTTAAGAATATCTGTCAATTTGGACAGTTTTAAGAGCAGTCAAAGTGGCAAATTGTTACAGATGTAAAAGGATGAAATGATATTTTTGAAATGAAAATTAAGGCAGAAACAAGTATTTCTGTGTGTGTGTATATATATATATATTAGCTGTTTGAAAAAAAAAAAGGACATTAGGAAGTTGTCGAAGGTCAGCCAGAAAATAAATTTGGCAACCTAAAATTTCAGTTTCTTGTGCCAGTAACAGAGAGAAAAAAAAATTAGAGGAAAGTCTGCTTTGGAAAGGTCAAAGGCTTATCAAGCATAATGCATTTGAGTATAAAAATGAAAAGGGAATATTTGTGCATTAACATCTGCATGGGTCATTCAGTTTCACTGATATGCTAGCTTCTACACAAATAAAATCTTTAAATAATAAGCTTAGTGAATATTTCTGTTTTTTTTTTTTTTTTTTTTAATTATTTCTTTCTCAAGGTACTTGCTTTGTTATTGCATATGGGATAATTTTTGTTCAAATTTTTGAGATGAGGAATTATCATTATATGCTCAGATACCTTTGCTAAATGAATGAAAGCAATGGTTAAATGATATTGGATCCTCTAGCAGTTGTGATTTCACTCTCTTGCCCGAAGGGTGCTGAAAAGCTATATAGAAAATTTGATCAGTTACTAAATGTTCCTTGGCTTTTCTTGTGCTATTAATATTAAACTGATTTTATGAAACCTTCCTGCATCTTGAAAATAATCTTCGAAAACCTGGGGGAGGGGAAATAAATGGGGGTGCATTTACATGCTTGGGCCTATTTAAGAAAATTCAAGAAATATCAAAGGAATATTTTTTTTTTTTTTTTTTTTTTTTTAATCCAGTTCACCCCCATGCAAGGCAGTAAAGCCATACAAATGGTTATGAAAGAATTAGAAACATTGCTAATAACCAGGAGGAAAAAGAGTAATCAGGAGGACAGTAAATAGTGATTGACAGTGCATATAAATTTTTGCAAATTAAAGTTGACTGGAAAGCATAGAGCCAGAAAGAACATCTAACCAGCTCAACTGTAAATTAATGAGACCTTTCCACCAATCTAGGACTGCACTTAAATTCAAAACGTCTAGGTACCATAGTGAAGAATTCATCTGAACAATTACATTGAAAGTATTTAAAGAAAAGTCACAGAGAGGCAACCTTACGGTGGTGGGAAAGTGACTGAAGCCAAGATGCCAGATCAGGACCAATAATATTGCTGATTCTTCTTTGGATTTTATCAAGGAGTTCTAGATAAATAGCAGGAGCACCGAACCCTATGTGGCACCAATATTCTAAGCATGGATGAATGGTAGACTTATAGATATGTAGATAGATTCTTAATTAATGATACCAGGTCTAATATCAATCTGGTTAATTAGCATGTGAACATTTTGTGATTTTATCTACAATCAGTTAATATTTCTGCTTTTCTAAGCAATTATAGTTTTTGTAAATTCCAATGTGGTTTCAACCTCTTGTTCTTTAAAAAAAGAAACTGTTTATATTATATTGTCTTCATTTTATCAATATTTTTTTTTTTTAATGGTCTGGTCATTTGTTTGACCTGTTGTACTGTATCAAAAAGACATAGCTGAAAAACGACACTCATTGCTTTTGTTGTGCATGTTAAAAACAGTGAAATTAAAAATTTAGATATATACGTGCACACACACACACTATAGTTAAAAATTTTGAAGACAGCCCTAGAATTAGCATGGGATGAACTTAACAGAAAAGTGAAAAAAAAAATGAAAAAGTGTTCTTGGTCATTCAAAAAAGAATGGAATCAATTATCAAACTTATACTTTGAGAAACTTTTGCAACAAATGCCAAAAATTTGTGCTGCAGTAATCAAGGTTAAAGGAGGATATTTTTGACAAGAGGAAAATTTAATCATAAAATGCTTTTTTTTTTTTTCTTTTTGTCATAACATTTCAAGTAAAAAATCATGTCTCACTTTTTTTAACCATGTATAATAATTTTCTCTTATTTAAAGTGCAAAATAATTACTTTTGGAGCCAATTTAAAACATTACCAAGTGTTTTGCTTTAAACTTTTGAATTGTAGTGTGTGTGTATATATATATATATATATATATATATATTTTTTTTTTTTTTTTTTTTCAGTATTCTGATTCCCCAGTTGTCATCCTGCACTCTATTGTTGCCATGGAGAAGTTTGCAGAAACCAGTGAGTATTTGTTCTTGTTAAAGAATTGTATGCTAACCATTTTATTTTAGCTAAAATTACTTATTTTTTTTTATTTTAGGTTGTGTTTTTTTATGGCTATGAATATCTCTGCTGTGTCTATCATGTTAAGAGGCAATGGACAAACTGATCGACTATTTTTCTCTTAACTATCATGCATTTTTTAGAGTTGCCTTTATTCATTGAAAGCTTATAATGCAGAATAAAAGGTGGCTTTATAATCTACAAAATGCAATCTGAAAGTAATGCCTTTTATTTCTTTTCATGGAAACTGCTGCAGATGCACAGAATAAACCACATCTGGCAATAAGACCTCTGATTGGGTGATTGGAAGTTTTGAGAAGCAAGGAACCACTTCTTCATTGCCGTTGTTCCCAGGTTCATCCTGGCCTGGGGTCGTAGCACCTGTTAGGGTCCCAGCTATGAGCAAATTGTGAACCCCCAAGCAATATAAAAGTATAAATACATTTTATTATAAAAAGAATTACCAATAATTCATATTTATAGCAAAATGACCAACAATATATTTTTAAAGCAAAATGCCCAACAATACATTTTGTAATAGAATGACCAACAATACATTTTGTAGCAAAATGACCAACAATACATTTTATTTGTAGTTGAAGCCATAAAATTGCATTCAATATATTTAGATTTTGGCATGAGGTGTTGATATGCATCTAAACAAAATCAGCCAACATGAAAGAACTGATTCAGGAGATTAATCTATACAATATCCTACAATTTCTTAAAGAAATTAAACTGTTCCAAAATATAACTTCAACAAAACTACAACAAAAAACACACATATCACTGGACCTAGTAATTATGTCCACGCAAACATATATATGCCCAAAAGCTGAGTATCATCTACCATGTATTCAATTGTGAAAGCAGAATAACATATATCATTTTTATTATTTCAGATTTCCCAAGAAAATTAAATTTTGGCATTAAATGACCCATGAGGAGTTGCTATGCCATTAAATAAATCAAGATGCATGAAGCAGAAAACAATTATTAGACAAGTTTTCAGCTAGAAAAAAAACTTTTTTTTTTTTTTTTTTTTTTTTCACACATTGTCATCACCATTTGATATGCAATAGAGAGAAGTTAAGAAATGTATTAGTTGAATGCTGTAAGATTTTTAAAATAAGTGGATTCAATACATAATGGATTTTAGTTTAGGTACCTTGATGTGGTTTAATGGTTAGCAAATTTGGCTCCCTAGAACAATTATGACTGAGTAGTGAGTTCGATCCCCACTCAGTGTTCTCTTATGGTTGGTTTAGACTATACTATGCTTAGAAAATCATTATAATGAATTTTAGTTACATATGAAGAAATCTAACTCTGAAAAGAAGAGAAAAACATTTTATTTACATGATTAGCTGTAGTGTAGATGTTATTGTGGTCATGCAATTTCTTTTTGAGACAGAAATGTAGTCAGAGATGTACAGGGTGCAATGGATAAATTGTCATCTAAATGATGCACAAAATGAAAATAACACTGACATCTTATTGTAACAGATATATTTACCAAAATTACACAAAAATATCTTGAAATGCTATATGTTGGTTTTTATGATAACAACATTATAGCTTTTAATTTACACATGTCAGGTTCAAGTTCTATTGCACATCATTTAAAAGAACATTCCTGTCCACATTCACATTTTAGAGAAATTTTAATTGACAATACAAATGTACTCCACCATAAAAATAAAAAACAAAAACTTCAAATTCTTGAAGTGCTCTACATAAAAAGAAAAAAAATGAAATCAACATTAAATAAAACTAATGAGTATAGCCAGAAGTTCCAAGAGTGTTTTGGGTGTCAATCTGAGGACAGTGCAGAGGATTTGGAAAGAGTTGGATGAGTCTAATGGTGATTACAAAGACACAGAAGCTTGGAAAATCACTCAGATTGTTCTGATAAAAGAACTCTTGAATTTGTTGGTGAGGGCCTTAGGCTCAACATGGAGGATGACATCAAGTGCCTTGAAGAGCTAGGGTTTCACAGGACTCTGCACCATGCCACACAAGCAGGAGAACCTAGTCATGGCTATCAGACAATTTCTGCCACCACATCACCTTTTACACCTGACCAACTAACTTTGAAGATTGCAAACCCCTTGATTATTAGATGTTGGGGTGCAGTTGAGCAAGAGACCAACAAAACTCCTTGGAACACCAAAGATAAACTGAAGGCAAGGATTATGGCAACATTCACCAACTTAAGGATACCATCCAGAAGAGTTGCAGGAGATTCCGAAGTCATCTGGGAGCTGTAGTTGAAGCCATTGATGATTTTATTGAATAAATTTGCCCTTTAGTGTTTCAAGATATTCTTGCATAATTTTGGTAAATATATGTTAAAATGTTATTTTAATTTTTGCGTAATTTACATGACAATTTATCCATCGCACCCTGTAGATACATAGATATATATAGATACATAGAGGTAGGTAAAAAGAAAAAAAGATTGATAGAAATATATATATATATCATCATAAATATATATATATATATATATATATAGCCCCCCCCCTCCACTCGAAGGGAAAACAAAACAGGTCTTTCACTATGGGATCCTTTGAATAAAAAAAATAAAATGTTTTCATTCCTTTTATTTTATATAATACCACCTGTTGGGTGTTAAGAGAAGTTCTCTGACAGCCAAGGTCATCTCGCAGATAAGCATTTTGAAGTCTCTCTTCATTTTGTTGGTCGACAGTTATGTAGGTCCATCTGGAATGTGGCTTGCCATACACATCACTGTACGGATGTACTACCCACCCACTGTGTTTACTTACATTGTTTGGTCTTCAAAAATGTTAATTGCAAGATGAATAAATTTTGATTCCCTTTCCTGCAGGGAGGAATTCTATGATACATGTTTACTTCATGTGCACTTTTATGTCAGATGTCATTTTGCCAGACTGATATCAGTAACGTGAGAAAAATATCTTGTATTGCTAAAAAAGTTCAGCCTCTAATGTCAACATGATAAAATAGGAGGAATTACTTTTGGAATGGACTTTCAAAAATAAAAAATGCTATTTATCACATTAATTTTTATTTGGTCATCTGGTGATGTTTACGACTACATCATGTTGAAACCCCAGTTCCTATACACTCCCGAAGTCAAGCAACATTGAGCCTGGTCAGTACTAGATGGGTGACTTTTTGGGAATACCAGGTGCTGTAAGCTTGGATGTGTGGGTGGTGTATAATGATAATTGGCTCTGAATTGTTAATTGGAGAGGTGAGTTCCAATTCCTGTTGGGTTTGTTATATACATTTACATGTAAATACCCTTGGCAAAGGCATGACTCCACCCCTTATTCTCCCAGCTATAAGTTAATTAGTAAGACTTGTATCATTAAAATCATTATTACATACAAAAAAAATTTTTACAATTTAAATATTTTCTGGCTTGAAATAACCTGCTAAGGGTTGATAAGCTTTAAAAAACAAAAAAACAATAACAATATGGCACTTGAACATATACATCAGTGTGTGTGTGTGTATATATATATATATATATATATATATACACACACACACACATATATATATATATATATTAATGCTACCCAATATTTATATCATTTCACCTCAAGCAAGGGATTAGAGTGTGAAAGAATAAATGTTATTAAGGAGAGATAAAAAGTAGATGAACAGGAATTAGAAAACTAAAGATAATGATTGTGACATTGTATTTAAATTTTTGAAGATCAAACTTGATTAGAAAGTAAGAATCCAGAAGAGTTCTACAAGCGAGAAATCTGAGAGAAGAAGCTGTTAGCATAGAACTTACAGCTGCATTTAGCCATTTCAACGATGAAATGATATGACCTTGTCACCAGTCTAATATTGCGCTTAAATTCATGAAGTCAAAGTATCAAAGAAGAAAGTTCATCATCATAATTAGCATAAAACTACAGTGGAACCTCAATTTAACAGACTAATAGGAGAGGAGGCTTGTCTATTAAAAAAAGTTTGTCCATTAATTTGAAATACTTTCTTTTGTGGCCTAAAAACACCCAGTATACTACAAAATTATTGTAAATAAATGTAAATATGTTATATATGTATGTGTATTTTATTTTTAAGTTACAATATTTAGCTGTCCCCCCATGTGGGGTCGCATGTGGCACAAGGCCAAGTTTTACGTGGTCACCCGAGCCCGTAGGCCTAGCCAAAAATATAGCCTTCGACTCGCCTAGGCGAGTTCGAGAGCTGTCATAACCTCCCCGAACGAAACCTTGCCCTTTGGCAAAGCTTTGTCTGGGTTCCTCTCTGCTAATGCAGAGAGTTTTACAGACGGCGTGGACTGTAATTTAATACAGCTTTATTTTTAAGTTACTATATACCTTTAAATAAAGTTTGAATATTTACCTAAACTTATCTTTAAATATTGTTGTGTTGTTCTAATAGTACCGTGATTATATAGGGGGACCTCACAGTAGTAATTACTAGAAGCCAACAAAATCCTCTGAAGCAGTGCTGGTGCTTGGGAAGGGTGATAATGGCGTGGTGGTGGTGAGTCAGGGGTTACTTTCATGAGCTGACTGTTTGGGTTGAAAGAGCAAATCCAACTTTGTTTCTCACTTTGATCCTGCTTGTGAATTATCAATTCCCTTAATGTTCAAAGGTGTTGATAATACAACTTAATTTCCTGATTCTTGGTCACATCAACAAATTCTAGGAGAGTGTCAACAGAATCATGAACGTTAGACATTCTCGGTTGTTCCTCTTCCTCTGAATCACTGCTGCTAGTGAAGGGCCTGACAAAAAAACAATATTCTATACTGTACCAAAATCAGTTTCAAATGTTCGAGAGACAATGCAAGTGTGTAGATGACGAGCACTCAAGTAAACAACAATGGTTATTCCGGAAACTACCGGTCTCTCTCTGCTGATTGCATCAGTAAACAACAGCAGCCAATTCTGGAACTAACGAACCATTTCTGCAAATATTTTCTATTAAATCTGGAGTCCGTTGCTTCCAGGACCATTAATTCGAGGTTTTACTGTATTTATGAAGACAGGGAAGCTGCATTATGGCCATGGAAAAGTGACTGAAACTGAGATACCAGATTAGGACCAATAATATTGCTGGTCCTTTAGATTTTATCAAGAATCTCTAAATAGATATTTTTCTGGTCTGTATGGGTTCTCAAGAATGTGATCGTCTATCCAGCAGTTGTTTTGTGCAATGGAAAATGGTTGTCATACAACAGAACTCAAAGCTATACTTTACACAATCAATTTGCTTCCACAACAGGGAATTGTCAAATTTAAAATAAATGAAAGTGAAGAATATCAAAACCAAAGAGAATTACCCATTATTGATTCTTTTAGGATTGGTAAATGTTTATGCTATGTAATATAATTTGTAATAATTGCTACAACCAGTGTTTTGCCTTGCTTAAATTTCATCTCTCCAGGCCAGGTCACAATTGGCTTCATCTGATTACTAAAAGATTGCCTTGACCTCAAACATGGGATCATTATCATTCTTCTGGGAACACCACGCCCAGACTGGTATCTTTGTAGCAAGTTCCTACACCCAGTGGTACAGTGTCGACAATACCCTCTCTTATTGTTTAACATGATTGCTGAGATAAAGTGCCGGAGTGTGACACATGGAGCTCGTCATGAGAAATTTGGAGGATAGAGAAGGAGCAGTGCACCTGTCCTTCCAATACTCAGGAAGCAGAAGCCAGGTTACAAGAGTTACAGGAAGCAGAAGCCAGGTTACAAGAGTTACAGGAAGCAGAAGCCAGGTTACAAGAGTTACAGGAAGCAGAAGCCAGGTTACAAGAGTTACAGGAAGCAGAAGCCAGGTTACAAGAGTTACAGGAAGCAGAAGCCAGGTTACAAGAGTTACAGGAAGCAGAAGCCAGGTTACAAGAGTTACAGGAAGCAGAAGCCAGGTTACAAGAGTTACAGGAAGCAGAAGCCAGGTTACAAGAGTTACAGGAAGCAGAAGCCAGGTTACAAGAGTGCTACTTCTCTCCAGAGCCCCTGACACACTACATGGAGGAAGGAGATGGGAACACCAAAGAAAGTGATAGTCAATATCATCAAATGGGTTAGCAAAAGTTTTACCCAGACCAGGTGCTAGCCAATGTGGAGCTTTTTGTTGAACAAGCCATCATGAAAATGGTGTGTTATGGGACAAGAAGTGTTTTGCCACAACAATCTTTTTTTTTTTCTTTTTCTGTTGCCTTTTTCCACAGAGAACAGTAAAATGTTAGTTAATATGAACTGAAAAGCAAGGATGGCAATTCACATGAGTCTTGTGGGATTATTGTTGTTGAAAATTTTCATTAAGTGGATATAATTTATTTTTAGATTTGCTATTTAAAACTGTAAAATGTGATATTTTTCTCTTGAATATTTCAAAAATATATTTCTATTCTATTGAATATTTGCAAAAACATGGCAAGAAGTTTTCACTCATCCTGCTAGTTTTATTTTTAGTATTGGAAAAAAAACCCAGACATTTTTAAAAAATTTATAAAACGCCTGAGCAACGTGTCCAAGAGTAATGTTGCAGCACTGTTCCTACTCAGACTAAAAGCAAATTTATACATGTAACTGACAGGCATAAAGAAATGGAATGGATCTCAACAAATGGATATTTTCATGTGTTTTTATATAACAGTAACAAAAGAGAAAAAATTACATGAGTATGTTTGTAAAAGAATAAAGATATTTAAAATTAGCAATTATGTTAGTAACACACATGCATACATGTGTGAAAAAAATTCAGGAAGATATATCTCCCCACTTGGAAACAAGATCCTAGTGGGTGTTGCTAGAAGAAAAAGAATAGGAGACATGATGGAGTAATGGATAGCGGCTCGGATTGAGGAATTGGAAAGCTGAGTTCGAATTTTAGTTGGGTTCATTACATTCACTTTTGTGCTAATACCATTTAGAAAGGTATGAATCATCTTCTCCCCCAGCTATGGGTAAAAAGCAGGACAGATTGGCCTCTATTGACTTGGGTGGCATCCTGTCTAGGAAAAGGAAAACTCTGAATTCAAAACTAGCCTGAAGAGGATTGAGATCCATCAGGCTATCTTGCTCTAGAAACACCACTTCTACTGTGGCTGCAGTACATGTAGTTGGTGTGACTGTAAAAGACATCCCCCCCCATTTCTTAAAATTTCTAACAGAATGTGTTCTATAAAGTTAACGTTAGAAATGTCCCATTAACTTAGATTGTTGATGTCATGAAGTTGACGAGCATCCAATTTTGAGTTTAATGAAAAAAATAAATAATGGTATAAATAAGACAAAATGAAAACTTTTATCAATGCATTTCATCCCTTGAGGAACTTTATCAAAACAAATAACTGTATGCGTATGGTTTTAAAGATATAGAAGAGAAACTGCAAACCTTTTTGTTTGTAATGTGGATTTTTTTTACAAATATGTATTATACTTTATTTTCCATAATTTTTCCATATGGAAAATAAGGCATATATTAAAAAAAACAAAAAAATCCACATTTCAACCAAAAAAGGTTTGTGGTTTTCTCTTCTTTTTAATATATACTTTTTTTTCTTTCATTAGAACAACTATAACTTATATATATATATATATATATATATATATATATATATATATATATATATATATTAAGACATTTTTATGTTTATACATCCTTTTTTATAGATACAAATATTTAAGTAAATGCTCTGTTTATAATAAACAGTATTAAACAACATTTACTGGCCTGAATGTCCGAGAAATTGTCATAGAAAATATGCATCTTCCGACAGGAATCTAACCTGTATCCTATATGGAACCGTCATATAGCCTGACATGCTTTTACCGTTTTCACCACAGAGGAGCGTTTCAGTTAGCAAGGTCAATTTTACTGCCTTTAAACTACAATTTTCCATGATTTTCTCACGTACATTCATATCTGCTCCAAATGTAAACAAATGACATCACACATTATGAAATGGACAAAGTCCGACAATTATTTTAAGATATTTTTATGTTTATACATTCTTTTTTATAGATAATAAACATAAAATTATGAATTATATTTTATAAACATAAAATTTAATAAATAATAATAAATTTAAGCACAATACTAGATTGGCAGCAAGGTTTCAACTTTTTATAGTTGAAATGACTCGATGTATCAGAGAGAATGCCAGGAGCTGTAAGCTTGAATTTG